TAAAATGATCATTGTCTCCAATTTTGCCCTGTTGTGCAAGAAAGCAGATTTTTATTGAAGCTACACAAGTAACTATTTTGATGTAAGAATACTCAGTTTCCAATTTTTGGAGAATTATATAGAGAAGAAGAAATAATGTTTTTAATTTTTCTCACTAGAGTATATTATGCTCAATTGTTAAAAGCTGAATAGCTTAAAAGACAAAGTTTTCTTGATTCTGAAAACCAAAACATAAGTAATTAGCAAATGCTTTAAAGAATAAGCCATAAAAATTATTTCAGTCTCCTGTTAGTTCAGTTCATGCAATTAAGTCCTGTCCAGGTTGATATTAGATTAACAATAATCAGAAATGTGTCAGGTCTCATGAGAGATGTGGAAGTTTTTCTCTCTATACCAATGGCACAATTTATAAAATTGTCACAATCATGTATTTAAGAGTACTCCTCAAAGTTCTATAGAATATTATAAGCCGCCTGATAAAGAATCAAAGTAAAACAACAATTGTGGATGACTGAAGTTTTGGAACAGCCATGAAGACAGAATTGAGGAGAAAATTTGGTTATTTCTGTGATAAACATTTTACATAACAGTCACAACTACTACTGATAAAATATACTGACATATCAAAATCACTTGAATCACATACAATTTTGAAACATATACTCCTTAATTTGTATAAATATACTCCAGTTATATAGTCCACATTTATTTAAATATAGTCAAATACCACTGCAAATTTCACATTTCTTCCTGTATAATTTAATTATGCCAAATAAGCTAAATACGTTTGTTTTCAGCTTCAGGGGACCTCATATCAAAAAAGCATAATGAGGTCAAATGACTGAATTTAGAATTTTATTTTGTGAAGTTTGTCAAATATCAAAAGTTTACAACACTTGATATTATAAAATACGATTACAAATTACTGTGAAGTATTTATTTAGCCAAGTGAAAACTCAGTCATTTATAAAAAAGCAAAAAAAAATTTATTTTGAAAGAGAAGAATTAGTTTTCTAAAAAACAATCCCTTGTAAGAACAGCATGAAAAAAGTTAAAACTGTCTCTCAATTTGGAAAAATAAATCTATGAAATTATGATTACTTTTACCGTAAAATAAAATTTCCATAGATCATAGGTTTTTCAGTTTTTTAAATTAAAAAGCAGATTAATTCTTCAAGAAACCATTGTAAATCTGACACAGGGACCCAGATGCTAGCCTTGTATTAAAGTGCATTTAATATTAACGTTTAATTTATAAAGAAACTTTCAAGTAATTTTATCTCTCAAAATTAGCTTTTACAATCTTACAAAGCAACTTCTTCTGTAATAGTCCCTGGGCCTGGAGTGGTTTAAGTAGTTTCCATTTCTAGCCTTGTGTCTTAAGAGTGTGATTAATTTTTATTGTCATTTTCTTCTAGGTCTGTAGACAGGGCTTTAATTGCTATCAGTCTTTAAGATTCAGCAGGACTCGATGTACTTTTTATTTTTTATTATATTTACGTTTTTTTCTGAGACAGAATCTCTCTCTGTCACGCAGGCTGGAGTGCCATGGTGCAATCTCGGCTTATTGCAACCTCTGCCTCCCAGGTTCAAGCAATTCTCCCTGCCTCAGGCTCCAAAGTAGCTGAGTATAGGCATCAGCCAGCATGCCTGGCTAACTTTTGTATTTTTTAGTAAAGTTGAGGTTTTGCCATGTTGGCCAGGCTGATCTCTAACTCCTGACCTCAGATATTCCGCCCACCTTGGCCTCCCAAAGTGGTGTGTGTCCTTTTTAGACCTAGGAGTCAAAGCTCAGTAATGTAGCAGCACAAGGCCTTTAAAAGTTATGCAGATAGTGGACTGGGGATGGTGGCTCACGCCTGTAATCCCAGCACTTTGGGAGGCCAAGGCAGGCAGATCATGAGGTCAGGAGATCAAGATCATCCTGGCCAACATGGTAAAACCCTGTCTCCACTAAAAATAAAAAATTAGCCAGGCGTGGTGGCACGTGCCTGTAATTCCAGCTACTCGGGAGGCTGAGGCAGGGGAATCGCTTGAACCTGGGAGGCTGAGTGCAGTGAGCTGAGATCACGCCACTGCCCTCCAGTCTGGTGACAGAGCGAGACTCTGTCTCAAAAAAAAAAAAAGTTTTGCAGATAGTTACATGAATGTAATAATAATCATTAATTTATATTTTCTTACCAACTCAGTATTCCTAAATAATTGGAAAACTTAATAACAGTTACATAGGAATTATTTCAATGAAATATAAAATTTGTTTTATGCCGGTTACCAAATGGCAACAGAAAAACTTTCTGCAGTGTGACTGTTTTTCCCTACGGGGAACTCCAAGTAGATAACCTGAAAGTCAGATCTAGTGAAAAAAAGTATTTGAATTAATTAGACAGGCGAAGAATGTGTCTTGGATTGCAAGTGAAGATTTTTCATAGAAAAATTTAGACATTTAAAGAAAAGCCAAGAGTGCAGAATGTTATGTTGAAAGAAAACATTTTATTTAGAACTTTAAGATAAAGGATTTTTAGCATCAGGCAATAATAGCAGTTAGAAGTTAACAATAGTTAGAAGTTAACTCAGAGGCTAACTGCTGTAAGAACAAAAATTTTAAAGGAGCTGATGAAAGAGCTGAGATTCTCTCAAGCCTTCTCAAAGGGAAAAAAATGGCAAGATGCAATAAAAGTTAAGCTTTTGGGTTAAAAAATTAAAATATCTTACAATTTTATTGAGTAAATCAATACTTCAAGACAATCTTGTTCTAACCAATCTTTAGTGTATTAGTACATTTTCATATGAAAGCCAGATCCCTATAAGGACTACTACAAATACTTCCCTTTTAATTATAGTCAACTTGATAATGCGAGTTTATTTTAATAAATTAGCTTTTTACAAACCTTATTTTGACTTACACAAACCGTTTATAGCATATTTGAACATCTTGTTTTATTCTACACATCACTGTTTCTTAAATAAGCACAGCCATTTTTATTTTAGGGTTAAAAAGTTACCATGCAAGATCCTTTTATTATTTTAACCTTTCCTACCAAAAGTACTTCTGTATGTCTGTTACTTTCTTTAAATCATTCTTATTTACTGGTTATTTTTATGATGTTTTATAATCAACCTCCGAATTAAATAAATTCTTTTTGTAAGAACAAATTTTTTAGAAAAATATTTTCTTACAGTATATATTTTGTAAAACAATTAGTAATGACCCAAACATTTAGTCAATATCTATTATTTAAACTTTAGATTTTTAAATTTCAGAACAAGTTCATTTAAAAGGTTTATTTTATTTCATTTACCGAATTTATTTTTTAAATAGCTTACGTAGATTATTTACAAAAACTGTAATACTCATCCTTTAAGGTATTTTTCCCTATTAACCATGTTATAACCCATGAATTTTAGGTGTTTAAGTAAAAACCTTATGATTAAATAAATGATTATTTTCTAATAACTATTTACCTGTTTTTTATTAAAACAACAATATTAAATATCTTATTTGTCAAATTACAGTGATCATTCTGGTTTTAACTAGGTTTATAATTTTATAATCTTTATAAAAAATTTGACATTGTATAATATCTAGCTGTGATTTTAAATATAAAATCACTTGATCAATTAATACAAACAAGGTATGCTGAAAATTGTCAAAATATCTCATTTTTTACCAATAATTTTAAAACCAACTTATTTATTAAATATTTACTTAAGTCACATGTGCTTCAAATGCATTGGGGCTCATTTACTTAATTTAAAAAATGTTATTTATTTTAAAGCCAATTTTGTACCTTGTAGCCACAACACATAGCAAAATACATATACAGACATATTAGCACATCTAAGCACACATATACACTAACACAAAGATCCTGAGGCTTTTCAATGGAAACTCTAGCTATAGAATATTAATAAAAACTCAGCAGGTGTTTAAAAAAAGATTTAATGTAAACAGTGATTGTTATCTTAAAACCAGTAGAAAAGCTCTGTAAACTGGAAAACAAAATATTTTTAAGCAAAAAACATATCCTTATCTTTCTTTATAAATGTCACCCAAAACTTACTATACTCTCTTACTATTCTAATTCTTAGTAACCATAATTCACAGTGAGAAACCTAGGATTACTTAATTTAACAAGACATGAGTTTAAGATTTTAAATTACTGAAGATAATTATGGGACTAAATTTACAAAATTAATATTTGTAAAGCATGTACAATTTAAAGTTGACTCAAAAAAATAGATGTACATATTTTTACAAAGTGGTTCATTAAACAGACTTAAGTTGATTGGTGGTTGATTAGATTACTGGCTGTAGAGTGGAGCCATTTAAGAAAAAGGGCCAAAAAAGCATGCAGTTTTTAGTATATAAACTACAATTGTGTATGGAAATGTGCAAAGAAATTAGAAGTCTTCTATAGTAATGACCATTTCCTGTGAACTACCCTCAGCCACCCCTAACGTAGCTTTCAAAGCCACCCCTTAACACTGCACCTTTCATTCGCTATTGCACACACCAAGAATGAATCCTCTCACAGTACAATGTAATTCTGGTAGCCTCCAAAGCCAACAACATTACATAATACAAGAAAACAGAGCCTTATACCTGAGAAGAATCTGCCAGTGATTCTTGAAACCACAAAGGAAGCATGAAAACTCCCAACAGGTTAGTGGCAAGATCCAAAAGGAACTGCCCTCCCTGCCCCCACCCCGGCACCTGATGTGTAGCTGTCTCCTAAAGGAACAGTGGTGTCCTCAGTGCCTCCTGGTGTCCTCAGCGCCTCCTGGTGTCTTCAGTGTGTCCTGAGTGTCCCCTGGTGTCCTGAATGCCCCCTGGTGGTTGTGAGCAACCCCTGGTTTACTGAGCACACACTGGTGTCCTGATAGCCCCTTGCTGTTCTGAGCACACCCTGGTGTTCTGAGCCCCCTGGTGTTCTGAGCACACCCTGGTGTTCTTACAGCCCCTGTAGGTCCGGAGCGATCCCTGGTGTCCTGAGCCCCCTTTATGTCCTCAGCGCCCCCTGGAGGTCCTGAGCACCCACTGGTGTCCTGAGGGCTCCCTGGTGGTTCTCAGTGCCCCCTAGTGTTCTGAGTGACCCCTGCGGTCCTGAGTTCCCCCTGGTGGTTCTGAGCACACCCTTGTGTTTCTGAGCCCCCCTGGTGTCCTGAGTGCCCCCTGGTGGTTCTGAGCACCCCCTAGTGCCCTGAGTTCCCCCTGGTGTCCTGAGTGCCCCCTGGTGGTTCTGAGTGCATGGTGGTGTCCTGAGTGACCCCTGGTGATTCTGAGTGCCCCTTAGTGACCTGAGCTCCCCATGGTATGGTGAATGTCCTCTGGCAGTCCTGAGTATCCCTTGGTTGTTCTGAGTGCATCCTGGTGTCCTGAGAGCCCCCTGGTGGTTCTGAGCACCCGCCTTCAAAAGATAAACTCAAGAGAGATTCAAGGAAGTAATTATGAAATATCAGTATGTAGCACTTCACTGAGAAAACCTTCAACTCGTATTATTTTATGAACCATATGCGTAACAAAACTTTGTCCAGTTTCTCCACTTTATCACAGGATGAATTTTGATGCCACCTAGTTTAGAGTAGGGGCAAAACTTAAAATCATCTATAGGTCTGAGTGCCACTAACAACCAAAAAAAAAATTTCAGCCATTATGAAGTTCTAAGAGATGCCACAATCACAGTGTGGGCTCATAGGTGATGGTATTTTCCCTGAGCATATTCTGTGAAGAGTGGTTATGGTGGCTTTTCCTTCTAATGAGCAGAAGGCAACAGAGAAAGTAGAAACTAATAATCTTTATTAGTCTTGCTAGTGGTCTATCAATTGTGTTGATCTTTTCAAAAAACCAGCTCCTGGATTCATTGATTTTTTGAAGGGTTTTTTTTGTGTCTCTATCTCCTTCAGTTCTACTCTGATCTTATTTATTTCTTGCCTTCTGCTAGCTTTTGAAGGTGTTTGCTCTTGCTTCTCTGGTTCTTTTAATTGTGATTTTAGG